TTTATTACATTCTTCTATTATTTTGTTCATTTGATTCTTTATTATTTCAACTACTTTAATTGTTTCTTGACTTTTTTCTATTATTAATTTTCTTCTTCTTTCTGTTTCATCAATCCTATCAAATATTCCTTCTCCTCTTTAAATTGCTTCTGAATATGTTTCATCTGGTTTTATTTCAAATATTTCATTTTTAATACTTCCTAAATAATATTGATAATGTTTATTAATATCATCAATTGATTGTTGAATATTTGGAAGTGTTTCTATTTCTTCTTTAAAGAAATGAGTGTTCTTGTTTATTAACTCTTCCATTTTAATTTAATTAATATCAGATTAAAATAAGATGATTAAATAAATACACGTTTATAACACATTATTTTATTTATTTTAATAAATGTTATTTCATTTTTTATTATTTTAAATAACAATAATAAAAACAAGAAAATAGAAGATAATAAAAAATAAGAAATAACAAAACATCTCATCATAATTAATGATAATATCACATAATAATGATAGAAATGAAAATGAAATAGAAATGAAAATACAACTAATCATAAAAAGTATATAATTAAGTGTTATTACTTTTATTTTATATTATTCATTATTCTGGTGGGATTAACAACACGTCTATTTATTATTTATTTTATTGTTTATTTATTCTTTCTTGTTTATTTATTCTATTTCTATAACAAGATTAATAATGTGTTACATCTAAATAAGTCAATACAAATACTATTGTTTCTTTAAAAAAATACAGAATTTCTTCAAAACTGATAAATATTATTATTTCAATTTATAACATCATTAATATGAATAGTTATTGAGCAACAGTTTATTTTTAAATAAATAACACTCTTTTAGAAGTTAAATGAGAAATATAATAAATGATATAAAATGAATAAAAAAGATAGAAATAGAACATATTCAATTTTATTCAATAAAACAAGTGATTAATGATAATACTTATTCATTAATTGATCATTAACATCATCTATCATCTATTCAGATGATAAAAATGATAAATTAATATATTTTAATGAATTGAAATATTTAAAACAATTTTAAATATGATTTATTTAAAAATGTCAACATAATTCTTAACTGATTATTTATCATCAAATTTCAATTTTACATGAATGAAACAATTGATAAAACAAGAAGAAAATGAAAATGAAAAAGAAATAATAATGAGTTAATTAAGTATTAATAGAAGTTGTGTCTATTGTTCCTGGCTCAGTGGAGACTAATCCCGTCAATGAGTCTTCGTCTTGTAGTTCAACTACATATGTTTGATTGTGTAGAATCAGTGTTCCATGACATCCATCATGTTTTTAATTACAAGGTTTTTAATTTCTTTAGTGATGTCAATTTCGATTTTTAATTCTTTAATTATTTTAATACTTTCCGCATTTACTAGCCCATTAATCGAAATTACTACTGGAATTATTTTAACATCCTTTATTTTCTCTATTTTCATTACCATATTTTTTAATTCCTTGTACATATTTCTTTTCTTCCAATACCCTCCATTAATATTATGATCTGCAACAATAGTCATATCAAATATTAGACCAGTTATATTCTTTTTATCTAGTACATATATATCTGGTCTTTTATGATATAGTCCATCACTTTTTGGCATTATTTGTTTGTTCAATATCATAGTGATGTCGTTGTATTGGAACACTGTTTCATATGGGGGTTTCTTGTATTGTTTATTTAATGTGTATTTTCTTATTAACCCCTCCCATATGATAATGCCAATATGGTCATGTTTCTCCATTTGTGATTTTTTATGACAAATACAAGATAATAGAATGTGTTCTAGTGTGTATATCTTGTCTTTACAAAGTGGGCAGTACTTCAATCTTTCATTTTTTAGTATTTTATCTTTCCTGTACATATTGAATATTGCTCCATCTTGTATTTTAGTTAATTGAAGAAATGTATTTTTCTTTATATTGATGGACTTCCATGCATTTATTGTAGTAGTTTTATCTACAAATTTTGACTCGAACCATCTTCTAAAATGTCCACTTGTTTGATTTCCATTTTTTGATGTATTGGTCGTTCATTAATTTCTTTATTTTTACTACTACTTCTTTTTCTTTTTTATTTTCACTTCATTTATTATTTCTTCTATTTTCGTTTCTGGGATCTTATGACTTAGGACTTTTTTAATTCTATTCAATATTCATTTCTTGGAATACTATCTATCTAATATTTTATTTCTTATTTCACTCTTGTACAATAGTACATTACTGTTCTGATTAATTCAATAACATATTCGTCCCTTAGGCTTATTAATCATTCACCCATTTCATTTATAGGGACATATAGACGGTCTTTGGAGTTACAACAAATGTATTTTGCATTTCTTAAATATTTTCTTATCTCCAAATCCATTTTATCTAGGTCAGTTACCTTCCAATTTACTACTGATGCTGAATATCTGAAGATTGGTATTACTTCATTATTAATTCTTGTAATATAACTTCTATTACTACTTTCATCACTATTTATTTCTTCCATTTTCTTCATCATCTTTTCTTTGATGATTTTACAATTGAAGGTATCATTAATTTCATCGGACTGCCATACTCCTAAATATTTATACAAGTCCTCTCCTTCAATTAATGTGATGTTTTGCATTCAATCTGGTATTTTATTAATGTTCTTTAATACCATTCCTGATTTCTTTTCATTTCCATCCTTATTCCACTTATTATTTCTTTAATTTCATTGTGGATTGTTCCCATTTCTTCACTACTTTGTGTCATTATTCTCAATTCATCCATATACAATGTATGGTTTGATTTTGGGAACTTCTCTTCTATGATTTGAGAAATTATATTCATTTGGATGATGAAGAGTAGAGGGGATAAGGAATCACATTGTAAAATTCATCAATTTAATACATCCTAGATATTCGTTGTATTTATATCATATGAATATCTTCAATCTGTTCATCATACTTTCTACAATGTCTATGATGACACCCTCTACATTAAAATATTTAAGTGTTTCTATTACCCATTCATGATTTACTGAGTCATATGCTTTCTTAATGTCATAATATGACTCTACATATTTTGTTTATTTCTCTTCTTTTTGCTGCTTTAACATATAACTGTTAATTAATCCTTCTTTATTATCAAGAGATTGCAGTTTACATCCCAACTGATTTTTACTAATTTTTAATGATTCACTATTCATGTTAATTCTATTATGAATCTTCTCTTTCAATATGGAGGTAAATATTTTCATAATTACATTTGTACAACTGATATGACGATAATTAATGACATCGTTCATATCACCTCCTTTGTTGATTAATATAGTTCTTCCACTTACCATATCTAGAGAGATGTTTTCATTGAAGTTTAACCAATCATTGAATATATTAAGAATGGAATCTCTTGATGATGACATTCTCTTCTAATAATACAAATATATAGTGTCAATACCTGGTGCTTTCCAATTACTTATTTTCATCATTCTTAAATTTAAATCATCCAATGTGATGATGACACTATCATAATTCCTGTATCTTTCATTCCACGAGGTGATTTGTTTTATTTTCCAATGTTCCTTATTTAATATCACCTGTGTTTCATATAACGATTTCAAATATTCTAAAGTAATATCGTTATTTGGGTATATTTCATTTTGTGTTTCTTCTTTATTTTAATTTTCTTATTAGAATCAAACATAATTTTATTTGTATTGATTCTGACATTTTCATTCTTATTAAATTTAATTCTTTCTTTAATCATTATCATCATATATTTTAGGTACTTTATTTTTTCTTGTGATTTAATTTTAATTTCATCTGCATCTTGTTCATTTAATCTCATGATACATTTTATTTTGTACCATTCCATTGATTAGATCTTCTAATCTATTTATTTTCCTTAGGATTTCTTTTATTTCATCAAATTTATCTCATTTAAATTTATTTTGGAGATAATAATACATACACATTGAAATCATTTTCATATCTTCTTGTAGATTTTCTATTCTCCTGACCATACCCATTTATTATTTATTTCTCTTATTAATTTATCTGATTCTTTCATTTTCTAGTAGTAATTAATATTTACACATTTATCTATCTTCATTCCTTTAACTTGAGTGATGATAGAGTTAATATATTCATCATCAATATCAGTAGAGTTATTTTTTATGATAATGTTTTTATTATTGGATTACACTCTACTTTCCCTTCTATGATGGAGTTCACTTTCATTTTAATATATCTTTTAGTTGTTTATTTTATTTTATGTGATATTTTAATATTATTAATGTATTCTTTATCATTATTTACATTAATATTTATTACTTTTATTATGCTTTCTATTTGTTCATTTCTTAATTTCTTATTTAATTTCTTATTTAACCAATTAATTGCAAAACAATACAACACATCAATTAAAATTCTATTTGTTTGATTTGTTGTGTTTTCTTCTCTTCTTGATTGATTATTATTTCTTGTTTTTTGATATTCAGTGTTTTGCTCTCTTCTATTTCCAGAATTGTCTTTTTCATAGTTGTAGTTTTGTTCATTTGTATTGTCCATGATGATGATGTTCTCAGTATTTGTTGTGTGTTTATCACTAGGGTCATTGTTTTCTTCTTCTCCAGTTCCTTCTGGGATAAAAAATTTTCGATACTTTCTTGTTGTTTTGATATTATTTGTTTTTGTTCTTCATTTTCTCTTTGTGTATGGTCTAATGCTTTTCTTGTTATTTCTGCAATCTCATAGTTTTGAATCCCACTTTTTTGATATACAGAGATTTGATTTTCTTTATCTCTTATGTTCTTCTCTAGCAGCTCAGCACTCTTCTCCAGCTCATCAGCCCTCTTCTTCTCCAGCTCAGCACCTTTAAGGACTTCGTCCTTCTCCTTCTTCAGCCTCTCACAGCTAGCTCGGAGAATGAGGATGGTTTCATCCTTGCCTCCTACTTCAATGTTCCTTCTACCATTTGTTTCATTTATTTTTCATTGTAGTGTATTATTTTATTATTTTAATTTAGAGTTTTCTTATTTCATTAAATGTAGTTTGAATATTGTTCATTTGTGTTTGAATATTTTCTATTTCTTCTTCAAACTCTTTCCTGACTGTTTCTCGTGTTTTTTTGAATCATTTCATTTGAAATGATTTGTTCTTCTTTCTTTTTTTGTTTGAAGTTCTTTAATAATTTATTCTATTTCTTTGATTTTATTTTGAAATATGTTAATTTCTTCTTTGTTATACTCTTCTTCTTCTTTATCTTGTGTTTTTTATTTATGTTATTTTTAATTTATTATTGTTGTAGTTTTATTTCATTTCTTTGTTTCGATTTTTGTTTTTGATTCATTTTTCATTTGTTTTAATATCTTCTTCATTTATTTTGTTTTCTTCTTTGTTTTTCTTTATTATTTTATTATTATTGAGTATACTTCTTGGAGGATATTATACATTTTCTTTATCTTCTTATCTTTTATGTATTTCTGATTATTCTCATTTCTCCAATTATCTTGTTATTCTTTTAATTTTCATTTGAATTTCATTTGTTGTCAACCATTTAGATTTCTTATTTGTATAATGTTTATTATCATTATATTTACATTGTTTTTTATTTTTATTCTTCTTTTTCTATCACTTTTCTCTTGTAATTTCTTTTATCATTATTATTATACATTTTATTGTTATTTCACTCTTTCTTTTCTTTAAATATGAATACCTGTTTCTTGTTTGGTTTTCTTTACAATACTCTATTACATTACTCAATATCCATGGCAACAAAATATGATGTATATTCTGCATTGATAAAAGGAACTCAAATACTATAAAGATATAATAAATACAGGTTATTAACAACAAATTTTAATCAAAAACAAATCTTGAAGTATTTATTGGAAAGTCCTTCAAATAATATTGTATCTTTTTGAGAAACCCTATAAGAACTTAAAAATTTTTAGTCCAATCAAATTTTGTTAATCAATGGAACAACTTGTGTCACTTGTTGAAGATAAATTAAAAGAGGTTTTTGAAGAAGAACGTAAAAGAAATGTCTGCCATCCATTTCAAGGGGAGTGTGTTGATGTAATGGAGAAATTTGTTATGGGACCAGGCAAACGATTGAGACCACTAAGCTTGCTGTTGTTCTTTATTGGAGGAGGAGGAAAGATCGAAGAAAGAAAGGGTGTAATTCGTACTGCATGTGCAATGGAGTTATTACATGACTCAACACTTGCACATGATGATATAATGGACGAAGATGAATTGAGAAGAAATGCACCAACAGTAGTAAAGACATTTTATGATAAATATGTTGAAAGAAATAAAGAAGACGTCAAAACAGAAAAGTTTTTATTTATTTCTCGTGGTACTACTTATGCTAGTTCTATTGCTATTATGGTAGGTAATATTCTCTATTCAATGGCACAACGACTTTGTTTAGAGTCAGGAAGTAATATAGCAGAGATGTTGTTAGAGTTATTTGATGTATTAAATTATGGACAAATACTTGATATGAGTTGTTTAAGCACTGTAGAAGATTATAAATTAAATGTTATTATGAAAACTGCCATTTTCTTTAAAACAACTGCTTGTATAGGATTAACGTTAGCTGGTAGATCAGAACATGACATTGAAATTGGAAAAGAATGGGGAGAACATTTTGGAATTGCATTCCAAATGAGAGATGATTTACTCGATATTGATCCATTAAATGGTAAGTTAAGAAAAATGGGAAGTGATATCAAAGAAGGAAAGAAAACAGCAGTTGTTTGGACTGCATTAAAAGAAGGAGTATTGAGTAAAGAAGATAAAGAATTTGTAGAAGGAATTTTAAAATTAAATGAAAAGGCATTTGACAACCAAGAAGCATTTACTAAATTCTTGAACATTCTACGTGGAAAACCAAGTGAAATTGTTAGACAAGAAATCAAGGAACATCACCAAAAAGCAATTGATGCATTAAAACAACTTCAACTCAAAGAAGAAGGTTTTTCATATTTACAACAAATAACTGATTTGTTGTTACATTAAGTCAATGAAAACAATTTAATTCTTTTCTTCATTTAAGATATTTTTGTTGGTTTTAAAATATTTTCTTTAGAATTTGATGGAATAGAAGAATATAATTTTCAATGTAAATGATAAAGTTATGAAAGATGTTCTATTCATAATTCATGATACAGAGTTATTTTTAGATAATTAGAAACTCTGCACTGAATTATATAAGATTCTCTAAATTGGTTTCATAATCTATGATTCCTCTTTCTATATTTTTATGTATTCTTTTTCTTTTGTACATTTTGTCATATTCATTATAAATATGAAATGTTTCAATATCAGCAAATAATTTTCTTGAATATTTATTTAATGGAATTAGATGAAAATGAAATCGTTCAATATTTCCTCTATATCTTTTAATTCCTAATTCCAAATTAATAAAATCTTTAATGTCATTAAAATACTTTGATGTCATCTTTATTTTATTATGTCCTATTCTCATTCTTGATCGATTATTTCTTTTTGTGTTTCTTTTCATTTCTTTTTTCTTCTGGTTGGATAAGGATTAAAGACTTTTGGTAGCTATTTTGATTTCTTTTTAAACTATGTTTATAAAACTAGCTGTTAACAAGTTGATGAGTAAGGAAGAACAGGTTTTTAAGAGATAAATATTGTGGAAGCCTTAACCAAAAAAGTGTTAATAAGCATACAGCAGTAAGAGCTTATTCAGTGAATAATGGTTACTCATAACTCGTCATTCTTGTAAATGATAACAAACAAAATCTTTTAAAACCAATTATATTCAGCAACCAATTTATTATTCAAAATAATTCTTTTTTTTTGCCAAGATAAAAGAAAAATAGACATGTTAATTATATTCAATTACCGGAGCATTTAACAGCAGGACAGACCCAGACATATTTGTAATAGACCATTGACCAACCTAAGGTAATGAAGAACTTTTACTCCTATCTTCTATAAGATGTTTTGATTTAAAAGTAGTTAGATAATGCAGAAATGAGTGTCAGTTATCTACTTTTTAATTACTAATCATCCTCGTCAAATTACAAAAAAAGAAAAGAACAAGTTGTTGTGTTACAACAAAGCGTTAAAACTATAAGCAACGTAATATGAGTTATATAGAGCATTTGTTATTTAGTTGAGAAACAAAAGTGAGGGGGGGAAGTAATTGAAGAAACCATCCGTATAACAAAACAAATAAACAATAAACACAAAAACAAAAAGAGATCATGATAAGTAGATAAAAGGTAGTAACAAATTAATGACTTATAGAATTAAAAAGAAGATGAAGATATAATTCATTTTATTAAGTTTAATTAAAAGAGAAAAACATGAGAACTAGGAAAAAAAAAGAAGTAACTTAGATAAACGTTGAAAAAGAGTTGAACTAAGAAATACAACGACAATAAACTTTTAGAATGATAAAAATAGAAATAATACAGTACTATTTAAACACTCTTGTTGAACTATTAGTTCATTAAATAAATATGGGAGACGAAGAAGTTCAAGCACTTGTTGTAGATAATGGATCTGGAATGTGTAAAGCCGGATTTGCTGGTGATGACGCTCCAAGAGCTGTATTCCCATCCATTGTTGGTAGACCAAGACATGTTTCAGTTATGGCTGGTATGGGTCAAAAAGATGCATATGTTGGAGATGAAGCACAATCAAAGAGAGGTATTCTTACACTTAAATATCCAATTGAACATGGTATTGTCAACAATTGGGATGATATGGAAAAGATCTGGCATCATACTTTCTATAATGAACTTAGAGTTGCTCCAGAAGAACATCCAGTTCTTTTAACTGAAGCACCAATGAATCCAAAAGCTAACAGAGAAAAGATGACTCAAATTATGTTTGAAACATTCAATACACCAGCTATGTATGTTGGAATTCAAGCAGTTCTTTCATTATATGCATCAGGTAGAACAACTGGTATTGTTATGGATTCAGGTGATGGAGTTTCACATACTGTTCCAATTTATGAAGGATTCTCACTTCCACATGCTATTCTTAGACTTGATCTTGCAGGACGTGATCTTACTGATTATCTTATGAAAATCTTAACTGAAAGAGGATATGCATTCACTACTACTGCAGAAAGAGAAATTGTTAGAGATATTAAAGAAAAACTTTGCTATGTTGCAGAAGATTTCAATGAAGAAATGCAAAAAGCAGCATCAAGCAGTGAACTTGAAAAGAGCTATGAACTTCCAGATGGACAAGTTATCACAGTTGGAAATGAAAGATTCAGATGCCCAGAAGCACTCTTCCAACCATCATTCCTTGGTATGGAATGTAATGGTATTCATGAAACTACCTACAATTCAATTATGAAATGTGATGTTGATATTAGAAAGGATCTTTATGGAAATATTGTTCTTTCAGGAGGAACATCAATGTATCCAGGTATTAACACCAGACTTGAAAAGGAAATGATTCAATTAGCACCACCAACAATGAAGATTAAGGTTATTGCCCCACCAGAAAGAAAATATTCAGTTTGGATTGGAGGATCAATTCTTGCATCACTTTCTACATTCCAAAATATGTGGATTACCAAAGAAGAATATGATGAATCAGGACCAGCTATTGTCCACAGAAAATGCTTCTAAGCGTTTTTAATTTACTTCTCATTTGATTAATTGGTTTAAAGAATAACAATAATTTTTTATAAAGCAGTTAATTAAGAAAAAAAAATAAAAACAAAAAAGATAATAAACAAAAATAAAAAATTAAACAAAAAAATAAAAAAAAAGAAAATAAAAACTGAAAAAACAGTGAAGAAAAGTGAATGTCAGATAAAGTAAAAGGACTTGTGTCTAAGACTTTTAGTACATCATTTAAACAACAAGAAATGAAGTCATGTGTCCCGTTATATAGACCATTAACAGTAATTTTATTTTTCTTAATAACAGGAATTATTTTTATTCCAATAGGAATTGCAGTATTTGTAGTAACAAATAATTGTCAAGAGTATTCTGTTAAATACGTTGGAGAAGGATCAGCACTAACATGTAAACAAGGAGCAATTTGTGAATTTCAATTTAATATTCCAAAACCAATGAAAACACCAGTTTATGTGTATTATCAATTAACCAACTTTTATCAAAACCATAGAGAATATTTACGTTCTCGTTCAAACAAACAATTAAAAGGAGATCCTATTTCTACATATTCTCAATTAAGTGATTGTACTCCTTTAATATCTCTTAACAATTCTAAAAATCCACATATGTTTTATGAACCTTGTGGTTTAGTAGCTGCTTCTTTTTTCAATGACTCTTTTGAAATTACAATGCAACCTGAAAAAGAATCTTCTTCAGTAATATTAGAATTAAATAAAGAAAACATTAATTGGAAATCTGATAAAAAATTATTCGGAGAACCAGCTGAACGTAATGGAATTAAAGTTGTTAATTCTTATACTGATCCTGATTTTATTAATTGGATGCGTCCTGCTGTTTCTTCTACTTTCCGTAAATTAACAGGAGTTATTGAAAATGTTGATGAAGTAAAAGGAAATGTAACTGTTAAAGTTGTTAATAACTTCCCTGTTGAAAGTTTTAAAGGAACAAAAACAATTATTTTAGCTACTACTTCTGTTTTTGGTTCTAAAAACCCTGCGTTAGGAATTATTTATATGGCAACTGGTGGCGTTTTTGTAATCATCGCAATTTTGTTATTCATTTTAACAAGAGTTTCACCACGGTTTGTTCTTTATTTTGTTTTTTATCTCATTAATTTATATTTATCTTTTAGTAAATTTGCGGATAAAAGATTTCTTCGTTGGTAAAATATTTTTTTTTCTTTTTGACTTTTCTTTTTTTTTTTTTCTTTTTATTTACTCATCTTTTATAATTTTCGTGATTTTATTCTTTTTCTTGTGTTTCTTTTAAATGGATTTTATAATTTCATTTGAATCAAAACATTAACTCATTTATTCTTACTTTATTATTTTAAAAAATTGTTAGACGAACTGAAATTTTCATTTTTAATTAAGTAAATGCAATTTACTTCTCAATTACCAAAAGTCTTTCTTAGTGAAGTAGTTCATTATTTAAAGTCATTAGAGAACGTTTATACATTTACTTTAGTTAATAAGAAATGTAAATCAGCAGTTGAGAATTTAACGTGTAATCCTGGATTTTGTAGGGGCAGTGAAATAACGAGTGCAGAAGAGCAATCAACTTTTATTAAAGAAGTTCAATTATTTCCAAGACTTTCAACAATCAAAATTTCAAATTTTTCATCATTTTTATTGCGTTATAATCCACACCATATTCAACAAATTATGTTTTTAACTGAAATAGATTCTACTCAAATACAGTTCATTGGAAATTTAAAAGAAAAAATTACAGTACTATCTCTTTTTGTTTATGACGATATCGTTGATCTCTCTCAATTTAAAAATCTTCAAAGAGTATCATTACGTGTTCACTTAAATCACTCAAGTCTTGTTGAATTCTTTCCTAATACTAACCAACACCTCCAATTTGTTCGAGTAAAATTTCAATATTACGTTGATGAAGAATTTATTAATTCACTTCCATTGTATTTATTCGATAAAACAGTTCTTGAATTCGATACTAAAGATCGACTTGAATATATTATTTCATCTGTCCCATCTATTTTTTCAAGAAGTACGATTGTTTATACAGCGTATTACACTGGAATAGACGAAAGAGTTATGATCAGAAATAGAGTCTGGGAATTTAGCCAAGAAGATGTTCATCAATTAGAATATCTTCCTGAAGAAATTATTAATTGTCATTGGTTTGGAGAAAATTACGAAGAATATAGTAATGACATGAATTTAAATGGGCTTTATAAAGCATTAAAAAATTATCTTCCATATTTTTTGATAAATGGAAATGGAAATATTCAAAAATTACAATGTCTAACAAATGTTAAATGTTTTACTCCTATTCAATTACCACAAAGTGTAACTTCATTAGATATTACCATAAATATTCCACAACAATTTGATTTAGATGAATTTGACTCTCTTAAAGTATTACGAATTACCTTTCAAAATGCTAACCAAATTTCTGTTATCCCCAAAAGAGTTGTTTCTTATGAACAAAATGGTGGAATAGTCCAACTAAATAATCTTGTTGATGTCGAATGGATGAAATTGCAAAATATATCATCAATTTCACTTGATAATCGTTGTTATGAATTAACTCATTTAGAAGTTATTAATTCTACTTTTATTAGCCCAATGTCAACAGTGTCTTCATTAAAAGAACTTGTATTAAAACAAACACAATACCAATATGATCGTTCCATCTTTTATCCAACAACTTTAACATTTCTCAGTTGTGATTTTAATGAATATCATCCCTTACCACTAATCCATTCTCTTCATCTTAGATTCAATAAAAATAATAGTTATTATGTAGACATCTCTCAACATCCATCAATCCAATCATTAACACTTGAAGAATGCGTTAAATCAACTGTTCTCTTTCCTTCAAATCTTTCTTCTATTACATTGAACAATTGTTTCTTAAAACAAAATATAACATTATCTCATTTATTAAATTTACAGGAGGTAACAATATCATCTCAAAATTTATCTATCCTACTTCCAACCTCTATAAGAAAATTAACTCTAGATTGTTCTTTGAATCTTTCTATCCCAAATATTCATTGTCTTACTCTTTTATCTACCTTTGTTCTAAATAAATGCTATTTTAATTTTTACCAATTACCAAAATCAATTCGCCATCTTTACATTGACAATTCACTGAACGTTACTGACGACATTCTCTCTCTCTTCCCTAAGTTACAAAATATTGAATATGTTCATACCCAGTATTCATCAGTGTTTTGGGGAAATTAAATTGGTGTTATTTAATTTATTTTGGGTTCATCTTTTGAGTTATAAGTAATATGTAAAAGACAAAAGATGAAGAATGAAAAGAGGGGTTTTGTATAATAGTTGTATTGTATTTCAATGAAAAAAGAAGTAGTTAACATTAGAAAAAATAAGCCAAATAAAAAAGAGAGAAAAAAGAACTATGAAGTTATAGAATCAGAATGCAAATGGAAGAAGAACCAACTATAACTGACATTTATTATGAAATTCAAAATAGACGATTTAAGAAAGATGGAATCAAATTAGGAGGAGGTTCATATGGAGAAGTTACATTACGAACAGATGGTGTAACAAACAAAAAGGTTGCAGTAAAGCAATTCAATTTAGGAGATCAGTCATTGATGGGACGTGATTTTGATGGATATCCATTAGAAATATTAAGAGAGATTAAAGTATTAAGAGAATTAGATCATAGGAATATTGTCAAAGTAGTAGATTTTTATTTTCACCGAAATCTTCTATATATGGTAATGGAATATCATCCATCTGATCTTGAGAAAGAAATAAGAAATGGGAGATTAAAAACAGATCCAGTGAGAGTTTGTAGGTATTTAAAAATGATTATTGAAGGAGTAAGATATCTTCATATGAATTTTCTTCTTCATCGAGTTTGTTAATAGTAAGAATAATGAAGAAGTAAAGATTGATGATGTTAGGATCTTAAACCAGCAAATATTTTAATAAGTGAAGATGATGTATTAAAAATAACTGATTTTGGAAGTGTTCGACCATTTGGATCAGAATGTGATCAATTTACAAAAGGAGTTATTACACCATCGTATAGACCACCAGAAATATGGTTTGGAGCAATTATTTATGGACCAGCAGTTGATGTATGGAGTATTGGATGTATTTTTGCAGAAATGGCACGAGGAGAAATTCTTTTTGCAGGAAATGACTCTCAAATACTTGAGTCAATTTATGTTATTCTTGGAACTCCAAATAGTGGACCATCATCAGAATGGCCTGGAGTAGAAAAATTACAAGGATATATTAAACCATTACAAGAAATATCAATTAATTCATTAAGTAGATATGTACCTAATTTAGATAATGAAGGAAATTTATTAATTCATAAAATGTTAAGATATAATCCTAACAAAAGAATTAGTTGTGAACGTGCATTAAAACATTCATATTTTCAACAATTAACAATGGATCAAAATAATTGAAAGATTAAAGAATATTTATGGTTATATAAATCTCATATAAAAATATAATAATAAAATAAATAAATTGAATTGGAAAAAAAGAAATACAATTTGATAAACATTATTTGTTTATTTGATAATATTCTTCTGAAGATAAAAATTGCCAAATTCTATGACATCTATAACATATATTCTTTTGTATAAGATTCTTTGTTTTGAAATTAATAATCATTCCTTTTACCATACATTTCTTACAAATATTTACTTGACATAATTCACATTTTTTACTAAAAAATCCAAGTTGATCTCCACATATACAACAAATTTCATAATTTTGGACTAAAGAAGTTAATAAATATTTGTTTAGATAATAAAAAAAAAGAATAAAAAACAAACAACATGATTGTAAAGTTGTATTAATAATATTCATAAATTCTTCTGTAATTGGAATATATCCACGAATTGTTGATAATATAGAAAATGAATGACATATTATGACAATAATATCATTTACAATTATTTTTAATGATTCTTGAACTTTAGTTTTTTTCATTGAACCAATAAAACATGTTATTAATATAGGTAATATATCTCTAAAACCTTTATAACATAAAAATTCAATAATATCTTTTCTATGTATTAATGTAGAAAATTTATTAATACATAATTGACTAATTAATAAACTTTTATCACTATTTTGATTTATAAAAGAAACCATTGCAACAGAAGCAAGTTTAGGAATATCTCTTATATTAATACAAGTTGGTTCTAATGGTAATTCACCATTTTCTTTATTAACAAAAGTATATCCAGTAAGGTCTTTAGTTAATTCATAAATCATATCAATAATTTCTTTTCTCCATTGTTCAATAATATCAATTTGTGTAAATCCAATTAATGTTTCTAATAATCCATTAATAAGGAATTGTTTAAAACGATCACTTGATGATCTCATTGAATAAAATAATGTATTACAATTTATTGGGTTAATAATAAGATTATGTCCAAGAATTTTTTCACAAATAACAACTAATGAATTTTGTTTAAATAAAGAACCAAAATGAAGTAAAATTGGAATAACTCTTTGTGTTGTTATTTCATCAATTTTATCTTCTTCTAATGAATAATATCCATTAAGATAAATATATTTAATAAATTCTGTTATTGCTTGATGAATATAACAAATTTCTTCATTATCTCCTTTAATTTTAAAAATAAATGGTTGATAATCTCCAGTTGGTGTAATTTGAGTAATATCAAGTCCTAAAGAAGAAATTGATGATAAATTTCTTTTAATTCCATCATTAATATAATTTATTTGTTTTTTATCAAATAATTCTTTGAAATAATCTGAAAAGAGATAAAATAAAATTCTATTAAATCCAATTCGTTCTATTTCATTTCCTTCTTTTGTTATAATAAAATATCCATCAAAGAAATTTGAATTTTGTAAATTTAAAATATCATTAATAATATTTTTTGAAGATGGACTATACATTCCATCAATATCTTTTAATTCTTCATTACTATTTGTAAGATTAATTCTTGGAACTGCTCCATATAATACATTAATAAAACAAAGAAAATTATCATATTTATATTGTTTTATTTCATATAAAAATATTCCTTCTATTTTTGTTATTCTTTCAAGTTCTATTTGAAATAATGGAGAACGTGATGCAAGAATAAATGAATGTGCACGAATATATTTTCCTGGTTCATTTGGGAAATAAATTATTGTATCAAAATATCTTTTATCTTTATCCATTATTTCTTTATAAACATTTTCTTTTAATCCCCAACCAATTGGAATATCTTCTGAATGAATATCTTTTTTTGATTTTTGTGATTGATTAGCCATATAAATTAATGGATCAACAGGATTATTTAATTCAATTGGTAATTCTATTAATTTTTGTTGTTCTTTAAATTTCATTTGAATTTCTCCTTTAAAACCTTTATTTGAATTATTATTAAAATGTTTTGTTTGTATCATTTGATAAATACCAGTTGATGATAATTCATTAATATCAATTATTACATCAATTGGTTTTTGAATACTAACAATATGTTCTTCAATTGGAGGAGATGCAATTACTTCATTTAAATTACTTTTATTATTTTCTATTTCTTCTGGTATATCTTTTGTTTCATTATTTTCTTTTCTTGTTATTGAATTTAATAAATCATCTAAGTTATTATACTTTTGATTAGTAGTTGATGAACTAGAATTTAAATTATTTGAATTTTCTCTTCTTTGATTTCTATTTCTATCAATTTCATCAGGTAATATAACTATTGGAGGAGTTCTTCCTTCATTCATTGCATCGAGACATAGATTAGCATGTTCTTCAATTTGGTTTTGGGGAACCATTTGTCCACAAATTGGACATTCAATTAAATTGTTCATTAATTTTTTGTTTTTTAGTTACTTTTTTGTTTTTTAAATAACTCAAGAAATATAGTTTAAATATAGTAAAATTATATCAAAAATAGTTTTAATCAAAAAGTAAAAGAAAAAAAATTTAATATTTTATGTTAGCTCATTTCTAAAACAACGATTCTGTCGATTAAAAATCCTTCTCCATCACTTCCATTAATCATTGAATTGTCGACTTCATAAACCATATTTAAAGAACAACAAACACTTTTTGGGATTGTTGTTTTTTGAATTGATAACCATCCATAATTTTCATCACCAAAATAACATAATTCATTTTTATTTGTTGAATGAATGTACATCCCAACTAACTTATCTTTTTTAGGTAGAATTTGTATTGGTTGAAGATGGTTTTTCTTTTTAAGACTGAATAGAAAATGATTAGAATCAGTAATTAATGAATCAGTTGTTTGGATTGGTTTATTCATATATCCTCCAAAAACACTTCCTAATGAATCAAATACTAATACTACAATATTTGAATGATTTAGTATTGACGATACAAACGTTTCATTTGAATTTCCATTTGGTAATGAACTGTCAAATAAAATCAAATGATTTTTTAATCCACACCAATTTTCAATATAATTAATTCCTTCAAATTGTTCTTCTGTCTGTTTAATATTTTGTGGATTTATATGAATAACTTTTTCTTTTTGATTAATTGGTAATTTATTTAAAGAATGTGGTGGTTCAACTACTTTACAACTTGATTGAGCAAATTGAGGAGGAATAATTGTAGTAACTGATCCAGTGAATTTTGTTTCATCATACATGTCATAGTTTTCTTCAATTTCAATTAATTGATCTATATCTTTTTGAATTGAATTTGTGTTTATTACATTTGGTACTTCAATTGGTTGTGTAACTTCTTTTTCATTTATTTCAATACTTTTTCTTTCATTGACATTTTCTTTTTTATCATTACCTTCTTCTTCTTTTGTGTTAAGATTATTAATGATTTGTTTTTTCTTTAATTCAAATTCATTTTTTATATTAGAGTATTTTTGTTCAATGGTACTTATTTCGTTATTCTTTTTAGTTTCTTCTATTTCAATAAGTTTGTCAATAAAAGTGTTATAGTATTCTTTTTCATCATTTTCTTTTTGTTCTAAATAATTAATTTCATTTTGATATTGTAAAAGTATTTCTGTAAGAAGTTTTATTGAATTTTTGTGAATAGTTAATAAATTTTCTTTTCCTTCAATCATTTCTTCCAATTCTTTTATTGCATTTTCATATTCATTGTATTCTTGTTGTGTTTCCATCATTTTTGAGTATATGGACATTTGAACTATTTCCTTTACATCTGAATTATGTTCGTTTAACTCTTTGATAATTAGTTTCATATTTTTTTGAATGGATTCAATTGATTTATAGTGGCTCTCACTCATCGTTATTAATTATATTTTTTTGTTCTTTAAATTAAAATTTCGATTTTTGAAATTATCTATTTTAAGTTATAAGAGTAAATAAAATAAGTTTATTCTAGTCATTCTTCTTTTATTATTTACATTGTATAAGAAATCAAAGTATTCTATGAAGATTCAAATTGTTCCTTTGTGTATATTTATTTTTATTCAAGTGAATAAGATATTCAAGAATCAATAAATGTATAATAGAAAGATAATAAAATATCTGTATGTAATATCTGAGTAACATTAAAAATAATACTAGTATGTATTTTAATTATAGATTTATTTGTTAATCAGTATGTTTAGGTATTGTTAAAATAATATGATTAATTGTATAACTTTTAATGATAAATTCTTTTTTTTTTAAATATATTAGAACTACTTCTTTTATAGACAAATAATTCAACAAAAAGAGTTGGTTATATTTTTATAATAACTAGAATTGAAATATTTTCTCTTCTATTCTCAATAATTTAATATGTTTATACTAATAATAGATATAATCCTTATAGAAACTATAGATGGTTTATAAATTAATTGATGTCAAGGAACAACTATTCAACTAATCACAAGTATGATACATTAATATACTAACCTCTGAAACAAAAGTATTCATTGATGTGTTAATAATAAAACTATCATAAATAAAAAATAAATTGAAAAGAAGAATATAAAAATGTAAAATAACAAAAAATGATTACTATTGTTTTCTTAAGATTTTTAAATGAATTATTGTATTAATAAATAAATTAACGGTATATATGACAATAAAAGAAAAATAAAAAGAAAGAACTGAAAGAAGTTCATGAAATTTATTGAAGTCAAACCATTATCATTAGTAATATTTATTTCAGACCTATTAGGATTAATTTTTTTTGTAACAGGAATGACTATGGCATGGAATTATCTTTATAGAGATAATACAGAATTTCGATTAAACATATTTGGATATATTAAAACCGAACAAGGACACAGTAAAATTAAATCGTATAAAGACTTTGATAATTTTGCTGAATTAGGTTTGTAATTATTTTATTTTGTCTTTTTTTTTCTTTTCTATTATAATTTAATTAAATATATTCAAAAATTAAAAGAATAGCTGCATTAGTTGTTGTATCACATCTTATTTACTTTATTGCAGGAATATTTATTTGCTTATATGATTTTAGAAGAATCTATCCATCAACAATAGGACATTTAAGAAGAACAAATTTTATTATTTGTTTATTTTTTATATTGTATAGTTTATATCAAATTGGTATTTTATTAGCATGGATATTTCGTGTAAATAAAATAGAAAAGGATGATATACGTTATTTTATGGATAATACCATGCACAATCCTAAAATGGGATTTTGGTTTTCTTTGAGTGCAACTATATGTCAATTATTTGCTACAGTAGTGAGGTTATTAATGACTATTTTAATTAAAAATTAATTGTTGTTTAATGTTATTTATTTTGTTATAAAGAAATAGTTTTAATATTATAAAATATAGTAAATAGAATAAATTGAAAGGAACTTTAAAAAGAAAATAATTGTTTTAATATAATTATGGGGTGTTGTTCTTCTAATGCAGAAGTCGATGAAAATCAACCACTTCTTTCAGTTGTTGAAAATTTACAACCACCAACTATTAATGAAACACCAACAATATCAAGAATTCATACACAATTACCACTAACAGAGGAGAATAGTAAAATGATCAAAGAAATAAATGCTCAGTATTTAAGTAAACAAAATAATTCTCAAAATCAGATCGATGACATTCAACAATATATTAAAGAAATAAAAAAGAAAACAAAAATAATTCAAACTAAAGAGATATTTGCTCTTCCTAAATCAAATAAAAATGATGTTGAACCTGAATTTGATCTTCAATTTCTTCGTTCAATTCTTCAAACAAATATAAATATTATTTCTGAAGAATATAATAAAACTAAAGTAACTAAAGCAACAAATTTAATTGTTCCATTAGACAATTTACAATAATATTATTCTTTTTATTAAATGTTTTTGTATAATTTAATTTAATAACAAAATAACAATTTTAAATAATAAAATAATACAATTGAAGTATTTAACAATATTATCTTCTCTCCTCTCCTATTTTATTTCTTTTTTTTTTTATTTTCATTAATTATTTATTATTGTAAATATGAATCTGTTTGTAATTGATTTATTTGTTGTGCAAGTGATGGTGGAATAGAAAGAACTAACTTTAAAAATGGAAGAGAAGATGGTTTAGCTAATTCATCTGTTAGAAAAAGTAATGATTGTAAATTTTTACTAAAAGCATTAATATAATTTGGATCTAAAGCTATATTAAGTTGAATACTTTCTTGAATATATTTTAATATTGATTCATTTTCTTTTAATATATTATCTATTTGATTTATAATATATTGTGATTGATTACATACATTAAGTTGTAATGAATTTATAGGAATTGAATGATTAATAAGACCTTGTGGTTGTAATGTTTGTGGTAATGATTGATGGCGAGTCATATGTGTTGTTGTTATTGGATTTTGATTAATTGATCTTATTGGTTGTTGTATTTGGGATGAATTAATAATTTTAGATTGTTGAATTGAAGTAAAAGGTATATTATTTTGTTGAGAACTAGTTTGCATTACACTGATAATACCAGGCCTTCTTTTTATTTGTTCATTAGAAGATTGTTGTTGATATTGAAAAGAATTTAATTCATTTCTTTCTTGTAATGAAGATAATTGCATAAAACGAGCTGAACCTCTATTGTGTTTTAAATTCATTGGTCCTTTAAATTGAATTAATCCTGGTATTTGTGTTAAAGGATCTGATTGAGTAGAATCAGTTTGATTTTGATGATTAAGAGGTTGATATTTAGATTGTACTTTTAAGAGATCAGGTGAAGAAATAGGAGAAGAATCATCTAAACCATTAGGAACTGATTTTCTTTTTCTACGTTGTTGGTCTTCAGATAATTTTTTAGGAATAAATTGACAAGATTTTCTATTTCTTAATTTTTCCATTTTATAACGAGGAGAAGAATGATTAGAATCTTTAGGAGATTGTAAAGGAGTTTGTTGTTCTTTTCTTTGGAAAGTTTTCCAATAATTTTCCCAAGAAATTGTCTATTTAAATTAATTTCTTTTATAATAAAAAAGAAAGATAGAAGTACATTAAATATAATAAATAAGAATATGTAAAAGATTTTATTAAGAATTATTTTCATTATTATTATTTTATAATTAAAATAATTTATATTTAGTTTTATAAATCATATATAATAATATATTAAAATATTAACAAACTTCTTTTATTTGTAACCAATGAACACGCATTGTCAATTGTTGAATAGTTTTATTTGGAAAAAGCATTGATATTTGAAAAATAGATTTTAAATTATCTTCAGTAATTTCTAATTTTTTAATATTTTCATCTAATAATGATTGTTCTTCTTCAGACCAAAAAGGTGCTGGTGTAGTTGGTGAATTATCAGAGTAAATAGACATTTGTTCTTCTGATTTAGTATCTTGTTGTAATTGACTATTATTTGAGGGGGAACTTTCAACTTGAGTGCTCATCAACCTGATTTTTGAGTTAGTTCCAGTTTTCAACAACTTTCTCCAAAAATAAAAATTCAAAAGAATTTAGTGTTTTTCTCTTTTTATCTTTTCTCCTATCTTTTTTTCTTAATTAAATTCTTTTAAGTCTTCTTTTAGACTTCTTTCTTTTTAGTTCCTTTAAGTGAAAGTTTTAATTGTTTTCAAATTCTGATATTATAAAAGTAAAGATGAATTTACCTTTTTATTTTTTAATGATCTTTTTTGTTTAATCCTTTTCTTTCTTTTTACTTTTAAATTCATTGAATTAAATGAATAAAAGGTATTAAAATTTGTTTTAGATTTAATAAAATGTTATTACTATTAACAGATAGTTCAAAGATGTTTTTAATCAAGTAGAAGAATGAAAAACATCGAAAATAAAATGGTTGAATGGTTCAAAGAAAAATCTAACGGAAGAAAGTGATAATTTAAAATAAATTTAAAAAAAAACAAAACATTTAATTATGAATGAACATTAATAAATGAATTAAAATACTATTTGGTTGTTTTAAGATTAATTACTTTTCTTTTAGATTGATCCATTGAATGTTTTCTATTAATTTGTGGAAGATCCAATAACTCTTTTTCAATTGGTTGACAATTATTAAATTGAGAAGGAGAAAATAAATAATTATTATTATCTAATTGTTTATATTGTGTTATAGATAAAGAATTTTCATTATTTATTGAAATAAATGGTTTATTTAATGAAGAATCTAAATATGAAGAAGAAATTTTAGTATGCATAAAAGCATTAGAAGATATTTGAGAAATTAAAGGATAGATTTTAAAATGAAGAATTGTTTTAAGAATTTTTTTAGATTTTTTAATAACTTTTGAATGAGAAATTGAAGGAATATTTTGAAGAATTTTAAGAGTTGATGAAAAGTCTTTATTAAGAAGTAATTTTTTTAAACAAAGAATTATACTACAACATACTACTTTTAATAATAAAAATTTATGAAGATCAATAAAGAAAAAATCCCAATACATAAATGTTTCAAATAATGTAAATTCCATACAACATAATAATGTTAACCATCTAAACATATATAAATTACTTTCTATTCCATTAGAATTAAATTGATTATAAAGTTTTTTATCAGTTTGTTTTAATAAATAATCAACTTCTTTCATTGACGCATTAATTCCATTTGGAAGATTATCATTTGATGATAAAAACCAATTTCTCATTAAATCAATAAGAAGAAACATACAACCAAATGTTTGTGATTCAACAAATCTATAATCTGGTTGATTAGAAGATGATGCAAATAATGAATAAAATACATTGCATAAATTATTCATTCCTTGAACATATGATACTCCTCCATTAATTAATGATAATATAAATAATATTCTTCTAAATCCTAAATCATGTCTAATTGGTGCATCTCTATTAATTGGTGCTCCAATAATTGTTCTTATAATATCTTTTTCTATTAATTGTATTCTTTTTAATTCAATTTCATTTAATTCAAATGAACTCTTTTCTATTGGATATATATCAATACAATTCTCTTTTGTTTTCCATATTTCAATCCATGCTTTATCTAATATTGTTGAAGGATATTTTGGATAAATATTTTTTATATATTTTTCATATTGTATTAAACAATTATATTCAATTTCTTCCCATTCTCTTTTTCTTGGTGTGTAATATCCAAGTAATAATTTCCATACATTCGATCGAATTATTGAATCATTTGGTACTCCTTCTTTATATATTAATTTCTTCATTTTAACTATGTCAATTACATCTTTACTAAACAATTCTTTCCATTTATCTTTTTCCATTTAATAATTTTTATAAAGTTCATTTTTATTAAAAATTTCTTCTTTTTTTTTCTTATAATAAAAGATGAAACACTCTGTTATCTTTCTTCTTTCAATTTATTCTTCTTTAAAACTTCTTCTTAAATATATAATTTGATTAAACACTCTCTAAAATAAACTTTCATTTATTTCTTTCTTATAGAAAATCAATACATTAAAAAGAAATTCTAACCTAGAACTGATCATAAACGTTTCTATTATTTTATAAAGAATAATGTTAGATTTAACACTCTAAAGAATCCACAATCTAGGAATGACATTTAGATTCATTTAGTACTTAATTTAACGTAGATTTAAACATTTAATCACTAACAAAAAAAGAATAAATTATCAAAGATGATTAAATTCGTAATTTTAATATTTATTAATAGAGACGTAGATTAACAAAGTGACTAAATAATTGAAAATATTACGTTATTATCCATTATATTGTTTAAAAGATATATTAATTACTTTGTAAAATTGAAAATATTTACAAAAAAAAAATTATTTTCGGTTAGTTTTGTCGTTAAAAAAATGTTCATTTTGTTTCTCCATACATTATTCCTTAAATTGTTAATAATTCCATTGATAATATTGATAAAAAAATCAATAACAAAAGTAGGTATGATAGATACAAACTTTATTTTTTCAAGAAAATAATCTATATCATATAAATAATGAGACTATGTAAAACAAAAAAAGAAATAGAATAAGAATAAGAATATAATCTTTTTTGATAATGTATCTATATACAGTTTTTCTATACTCTTAAATCATTCTAAATTATCAATGTCTGTATTCTAAATTGAGGACTAAATAAATAATAACAATATTAAAATTGTTTATATGTGACAAAAAAAAAGATTGTTTGGTATTGTTCTTTTTCTGATTTTAGTAGTTTTATAATGTCATATTAATTTGGTCTTCTCTCATATATGGATTAAATTTGACGAAATTTCAATGCCTATATGTTTTTTTTTAGTTATTGGTTTAAAACCAAATAATAAACTCATTAGGAAATTGTTATGAACCATTCGAGATAAACAATTAACTGCCATCTTCTTCAACAATTAATTAACACTCAACAGAATAATAAGTCTTTTTTATAGTTTCTTTCATTTAACCACTACTACTAAATATTCAGTAACAAAAGTTTATTTATTTCAAAAGACTTTAATCTATCTTCAAGACTTTAAACTAACCAGACAGAAAAATGTAATTGCAGAGGTTAAATCAACGATTTATTTCTGGTGATCACACAGAAACCAAATAAGTAACTGTTCTATTTATACGACAAAAAAGACGGTATAAAAAATATGAAACAACAAACTATTGGACAAAAAGAAAAGAAATGAAAATCGATTGATGAAAAAATAGAAAAAAGAAATAAAAAAAGAATTGTTCCCAAAAAAAGATTACCATAAGAAAATAAAGAGAAAAGAATTTGTGAAGAAAAAATACCACGTAAAAACATAAAAGAAGGAAAATAAAAAAAGTAAAAAAAGACAAGAAAATACGTCTTCTAGAAGAATCAATAGAAAATATAGTTTAAAAAGTTGTTTTAGAATAAGACAAGAAAATAAAGTGATTTAACTATTTAAACAAAGGGTTTTATTGAACTCTTTCAATCATTTAAGAATGAATACTCGAAATGAAGGGAAACTTACATTAACTGAAATGAAAAGAGAATCAAAATCATTTGAAGCTCTTCAACAAGGAATACTACTTGCAATATTAAGTTCATATGGATATAGCTTTGATTTAAAACGACCAGAACGTATGGCAGAAAAAACTTTCCAATACCTTACTATTAATGAAGTATATTTTAATAATCAACCACTTAATTTTGGTAGAATTATTGAAGAATTTTGTGAACAACAATTCCAATTAGATAAAACAGAAGATATGACACCTAATCAATTAAAAATAGTTAAAAGAAGAAAAGATTTAAATAGAACAGCTATTTCTTTTAGTTGGTTACTTCAATATGCTGAACAAAATGGAGTTTCTTTTGGTAAAAGAAAAACTAAACAAGCAAAGAAAACAGTTCAATTACCTAAAATTTACACTGTAACTATGCCAAATCCAAGTATTGTTTATACTAAAAAAGAAATTGAAGAAATTGGTGCTTCAGTACAAAATCATATTTGTAGTTTATTTGTTAAAAAACAAAAAGAATTATTTATTCCTGCTTATTATCAATTCTTTAATGAAATGCTTGGTCTTAATATTTTACAAACAAATAATACTGAATCTGTTCATTCTGAAGATCTTCAGGTAATTCAACCAACAATGATTATAAATTCAGAACCACTTCTTTATCAGATTTGTGTTGATCCTTCTTATTGTAATCCTTCTTATTGCAACCCTTCTTATGTTTATCCATGTGATTATCCATTTTGTTATTAAAAATTAAATAAATAATTTATAGCCTTAATTGAATTAGTATGTTCTTATATTATATTCTTCTTCTTTTTTTTTAAAGTATATTTAATTAATAATCAAATTCATGTTGGTAATTTGTTTGATGTTTATTAAAGTTCTTTTAGTATGTTTTGACAAAATTTCAACTCCAAACAATTTATATTCTTTAAAATAAGTTAAAGAACTGAGAAAGAAATAACTAACAAAAATAAAATTACTTTTATTCCTTCAGAAATCAATTAATGAAAAAAAATTAATTATTTCTATTCTTTTATTGTAAAGTATTTTTATTTTACTTGAAGAAGATTGATAAAAACAAAATGATATGAATTTCTTTTTAATAAGAAGTAAATTCAAAAATATAACAATATATTTATTAATTGAAATAAGTTATTAACTACAAAATAAATTAAATAACATCTAATGATATTGTATAACATATTAAAGTATTTAACAACAAAAATAGAAAATGTATATTAGTATTATTTTAATAACAAAAAATAAAAGAAAAAATAATAAAAGTTTTTTAATATAAAAATTAAAAAAGAACTAAAAAAAGAATAACAAAAATCAATTGAAGATGAGTGAATTGGTTGCCTTATTTGCACCTGAACCAATCAAATTAATGATTGACCCAACACGATATGTAATAATCCCAAGACCAATTACTATTCAATTTCATAAATTAAAATCATATTTTCAAAAAGATCCAATTGCTACATTTCAAGTTGTTGCAGCATTAGTAAGAGAACAAAGAAGAGAAGAAGCACAAAAATTTCTTTTAGAAATAATGACAAATAGTTCATTAACACAATTAAGTCAATCAATAGAACGATATTTTTATTTAATTATTGGGTCATTAAATGCATATACAGGAAATGAACAAAATAACAAAATATGTCATGAATATCTTGAGAAGTCAAAACGATTTGGAGATAATGAATTTACTGAATGTGTTTATGGATTTAATGCATTTTATTCTAAAAAACCTTGTAAAGATTACTTTAAACGTGCATTAGAATTAAATAAAAATTATGCACCAGCATTAATTGGTCTTGCATTATGTGAATTAAAAGATCACAAAGATGGAGTTGCATTATCTTATTTTATTCAAGCACTTAAAAAACAACCAACAAATGTAAGTATTAGGTGTGGTATTGGTAGAATATATTATTCTCAAAAAGAAATTAAATTAGCAATTCGATGTTATGAAAGTGCATTAGTTCTTGATACTATTTGTATTGATGCATTAATAAATCTTTCAAGAATATATTGGGATATTAGAACTCCACAAACAGTTAAAAGAGCATTAGAATTAGCTAATAGAGCATTAATGATTGATAATAAATGTGCACCAGCAGCTATAGTACTTTGTGAAGCAGCAATGAAATGTAATAATTATAAAGTAGCTTCAGAATTTGCAAATATTGCAATCAATTATGGAAATGAACAAGAAAAGATTTATGGACATTTTACTTTAGGAAGAATTGCTCATCAAAAACAAGATTTCATAAAAGCAAAAGAAGAGTATAATATCGCTTATTTATCTGATAATAAATGTACTTTCCCTGCATTACATTATAGAATGGCACAAGTTTTATTTAGAGAAAAAAATTATATTCAAGTCGAAAAAATTTTAATGAACTGTTTAAAATATAACGGTGGTGATTTCGATGTTTTAAAGTTACTTGGATTCACTGAATTAAAACTTAATAAAATTAATGAAACGATTGAATATTTGGAAAAGGCTTCTGTTTTTAAAATTGATTATAAAATTGAATTAATTGTTTCTTCTTTATTAGAAGAAAAACAGCCAAAACCACTCTTCAAGTATTGTCAAATAGCTAAAATATTTATTTGTTATTATTTTATAATATATTATTGATTTAATAATTCTTTAATAATCAGAGTATTGTGTTCTTATTTATCTCAATAATTTGTTTATTAATATTATGAAATGTTTACATAGTAATTTATTTATTCTCTTTCTTATTTTGAAGTGATTAGAACAATTTTTTATTTATGAATATTATCATTTCTTTTTATTAACTTCTTATTTTCATTTTTTAATTTAACTGGAGTTATTCTCTCTTTATCATAAGTTGTTTAACACCTGTTAAATTGTTAAATTCTTTTGTTTATTATAATGGAATTTAGTTCGGATAAAAGAATTATTTAATCTCTTTTTTGACGATATTTTACTCCTCTATTTCTTTTATAAATTGTTATTTACCTTTTTACAGAAATACTAAAAATAAATAATTCGATATTTATTAGTTCATTTCAATAAAAGTCATTTGTTTTTTTTATTTTCCATTCTTTAAAATAAATTTATGATTTTTCTTCTTATGAAAGATTTAATAATCTTGAAATTAAGTATTTGTACTAAAAAAAAAGATGACATCAAATCAAAATGAAAGAAGATTAACAGAAGAAGAACAGAAAGAGATTAAAGAAAGTGAAAATAAAGAAGAAAAGGTAGATGACATTCATGAAAAAATTATTCATTTTATAGGTAATAATTTCAATGGAATTAAAGCTCAACATGAAACCATTCCAAAAATGAAAGATGAAAGAAAAACAAAAGAGTTAGATGATAGTAGCATTAAAGTTAAACAAAGAAATAAAATATTAGAAACATTTAAAATTATTAAACAACTAGAAGAATGGATAGAAAAAAGGGTGAGGAATATACTATTTGACTCAAATATTGATGACTGGAATAAGAACACGTCATTGTTTAATCAAAAAATAAAGAACAAAGAGCATCTAGCAATTATAATTAAAGATACAGAAGGTAGTCTTTTTGGAGGATATATTAATACTAAAATTGATAAAGTTGATGAATGGATAAATGACACAAATTCCTTTTTATTTTCATTAAAACTAAAAGGAAGATTAACTAAAATGAATAAATTTGATATTGAAGAGCCACAATATGCATTTTATGTATTTAACCAATCAGATGATAGTTTATTTTCATTCGGATTTAGCGGGATATTTGGTTGTCTTAGTGATATTTTTGTTTATAAAGAAAATAATAAAATAAAGTCATACTGTTATCAAGAGACATTTGAATACAAAGGGAAACTAAATGCACTTTGTGGAAAACAACACCCTAGTTGTTTTGTTCCAAAACAAATTATTGTTGTTGAAATGAGGTAATCATATAGTTAATATCTTTTTAAATTTTGTTTTTATATAAAAAGATAAAATAAGTTATCAAAAATAAAAAAATTGTGATTTTAGAGGAACTAACGAACCAACTGAAATAACTGAAGTAACTTTCTTTTAAACAAATAACTGTTTTCTGATTTAATGTCACAGTGGATCAATGTCAAAGCCCTTAAATTTTTTGTCTTATGTAGTGTGTCATTGTTTTAATTCAAAGTATCGAAACAAATTAAAACACCATTAAGAATTATTCATTTAATAAAATGTTTGAAAGTGTTCCATTAATTTTGCAATTTCACCTTCTTCTTTTTTAGATAAATCAACACTAACAATTAAATCTTTTTTAATATCACTTCCAACAACAGAAGCACTAATTTCCATCATTCCATTTTCATTAACTTTAATTGTAAATTCAAATGATTGTTCTCCAGCTTTTCCACTGGGAATTCCATCAACACGAAGTGTAGTAATGAATTCCATTCCTATCGAACTAATGTATTTACCAAATCCTTTATAAATATTAAATTTAGCAGATGTTTGGTTATCTTTCGTTGTATAATATTGTTTGGTGGCTCCCGTTGTAGGAAGTGTTTCTCCTTCTTTAATAAGTATTTCAAATATTCCTCCTATTATTTCTATTCCAATTGGTGTTGGAACAATATCGTATACAATTTTATGACCAACACATTCACTTTGTTTTGAATATGCTAAATAAGCAGCACCTTTTGCAACAGCAGTAAGTGGGTTAAAATTCTTATCAGCAAATGTTTGTCTATCAAATAAACTAGCAACTTCATCTATAATTTTTGGCATTTTACATGTTCCACCAATTAATAATACTAATTGGACATTTCCTTTTTTATATCCTTTTTTTTGAGTAACTTGTTTTATTTTATTAATAAATTCTTCATATAGTCCTCTACTTTTACATTCTTCTTCAAATTCTTTTCTTGTAATAGTAGGTTCAATGAGAATCTCATCATTATTATCAGATAATAAAAATTCTAAATCTAATTCAGAGTCAGTTTTACCACTTAATTCAATTTTAATTTTTTCTGATTCTTTCTTTAATCTAACTAATTTCTTGTTGAGTGCTATCTTTTCTTTTTGAGTCATTCCTTGTTTCTTTTCATAATATCCTGGAATACCGTCTTCTATTCTTTCTTTAATAATATCAGTCATTACATTATCAAAATCATTTCCTCCTAAATTTTGATTTCCTCCAGATGATTCTACAATAATATTATCATTTACTATTTTACAACATGACACATCTAATGTTCCTCCTCCAAAATCAATTAATACAACTTTATCTCCATTTTTTAATGAATTTGGATTTTCTCTTTTATATCCAGCAATAGCCGCTGTTGGTTCATTAGCAAGTTCAACATTCTTAATTCCTGCTAATTTACATGCTAATAATGTTGCCTCTCTTTGTCTATCATTAAAATCAACTGGAACAGTAACAACAACATTTGATATTGGGCATTGCTTAGTCTGCTTGTGCATATCATACATCATTAAGTATCAT